TATATCCGGTAGGCTGGACGAAGTGCGATCAAGGAAGGAGGTAGGTGAAGGTGGTGGGCTGGTTGTTGACGCAGAGGAGGATGTATAGGGCGATGGTACATAAGGAGTGGTAGGACTGGGAGGTGACCGAGAAGGGGATGGGGGTGGTGGAGGGAGTTGGGTCATGATTTTGGTAGTGGACTGGGCAGGTGGGTCAAGAGTTATATCGGTGAGGTTCATTGGAGACGGTGTAGTGGGAATAGAATGTGATGGACTAGATGAGAGTGTTTTAAAAGGATATGTGTTCTCATGAAACCTAACGTGACGACTAACATAGACTCGACCTGTGATAGGATCAAAACAACGATAGCCCTTATAACCAGATGCATAGCCAAGAAAAACACACCGAACGGAACGAGGTGATAATTTATTAGCTGATGTGGCCGAAAAATTTGGATAGCAGGCAGATCCGAATACTCGCATAAAGGAGTAATTTGGAACACGGTTAAAAAGTTTTTGGTACGGAGAAAGGCCATTTAAGGTAGGGGAGGGTAATCTGTTAATAATATAGGCAGCAGTAAAAATAGCATCAACCCAAAATGAACTCGGAACCGAAACTTCAAGAAGCATGGTTCGAGTTAACTCAAGTAGATGACGATGTTTGCGCTCAGCAACCCCATTTTGTTGAGGTGTGTCAGGGGCATGATTTTTGAAAATAAATACCATTAGCTGTAAAGAATTGCTGCATATTATGATTAACAAATTCACCTCCCCCTTCACTTAAAAAAATTTAATTTTCGGATTAAAAAGATTTTCAATCAAAGCTTTAAAATTTTTAAAGTGCATAAAAACCTCACTTTTGTAACACATGGGATAAATCCAAGTATAACGAGAAAAATCATCAATAAAACACACGTAGTACTTGAAACCCAAATTTGAATAAACAAGAGATTGCCACACATCGGAATGAATAATTTCAAGAGGTAAAATAGAATTATGATTAGCATCCATAAAAGGCAGACGTTGTGATTTTCCTAAACGACAAGCCACACACTAATGAGTAAAAGGAGTATGACTACATAAAAATTGGTTTCTCTTAAAAAATTGTAAAATCCAATCACCATAGTGACCTAATCTACGATGCCACACAGGGCCAGAAGCTAAAACAGAAGCAAAAACTAGTGGAGATGATTACGGCAGACTGATAGGATATAATGGCCCGCTACTGGTAGTTCGCAGAAGTACTACCCCCGATGCTTTGTCCTTAATTAAAAAAGAATTTTTATCAAAAATTACATTACAATTATTATTAGCACAGAGCCTTTGAATTGAAATTAAATTAAATTTTAACTGGGGCACATGATAAACAGATTTTAAAGTGAGAGGATGGCCAGAAGTAGGTAACGCAACATCACCAACATGACGAATGGGAAGATGGGCACCATTAGCAACACTAACAGAATTATAGCCGGTGTAAGGAGATTTATTAATTAAAATACCTTCAGAGGCAGTCATATAGCAGAGGCTCCCGAATCAGGATACCATAAAGTAGGATTAGCTTCACCAGGAGTAGTCAACAGAGCAGGAGCGGATGGTTGTGTGAAACGAGAAGGACAAGTGACAGCAGAATGACCTGCAGAAAAGCAAATTTGATAGACAACAGGATGGGAAACAGACCCAAGAATACCTCCGTCTGATGGCAAGCCTGCGGACCTACATGTTGTAATACAAACAGGTAAAACATTAATATTTAAATGTGACACAGCAGAATTACAAATAACAGTACCCGTAGATGTCACACCCCCTGCATGGGAACCCTGCCGACCACCCCCTCCAGGGAAATAAGCTGATTGCCCCTGAGGATACCAGTACACCTGCTGCTGGCCATACGGTACTGGATGCTGCTGTCCGCGACCTCGCCCCCTGCCGTCGCGGCCTCTCCCGCGACCGCGACCTCATCCGCGCTGCTGATTGCCGAACTGGCGCTGCTGCTCGACCGGGTGACCCTGCTGCCCGACCGGGTACGAGGAACTGGAATGCTGCGAGGCTGAAGGTTGAAAAGGTGATGAAACAGCCGCGCCGAAAGCCTGATGGAAGGATGATGAATCCTGGGAGCGGAGGTAAATAACCCGCTGCTCTAGCTCAAGAAGATGATTATGTAGAGTTTCAAATGTGAAATTTTGAGGAAATAAGGACACAGTGATAAATAAAGATTCATACTTAAGCAAAATTCAATCGAGAATTGTAATAAAAGTAGTGGGAAATGTGATGGGAAAATATATAATCATGGGACTAGATGTAAAATTATAAGTTGAAGACCAAGAATAAGAATGACATATACGGAGTCATGGACTAGAAGCAGAATTAGTGTTTCATATTATTGTCTTTTTGTTTGGGACATTTTGTACACAGTACGTACGTAGTATGTAATATAATACTATGTATATATATTATACTATTTTACAATTCACCATGATATATATAGGGCTGTTGTTCATCTTAAACTATGTTAAATTTGGTATGAATCAAGACCACTATAGAAGAATGAACTTTTAAATTGTCCCGCACGCTTCCATATACGAAGTATAAACTACGTACGTGGTAAGAAAGTTAATGTAGAACTCAACTTCTCACACCTACCATCAGATCAGAGTAAGATATTTATGATAAAAAATTGTCATTAGATAACTATCAGAAAATCAAGACTTACATAAATTGCATTGATCTACAAATTATTTAAGAGAAATAATATTACCTGAAATAGGACTAGGACTAAAACAGTTTGTAAATTCCAAAATAGGTCTGCCATGTTTTTATTTCCAAAATAAGACTAATTATTGTCATGTTTTGGTAGTACCAGACTTCAAACATGGCAGTAATTAGTCCTATTTTGGGAATAAAAAGATGACAGTCATATTTTGGAATTTACAAACTGTTTTAGTCCTATTTCGGGAACTTTTCCATTATTTAACTCAAGTTTTTAAAATAATCAAACACTAAATAAAAGAGTTCATAAATACACAAACGACCCGACATCTAAGGGTATGTTTGGGACTTGGGAGTTTGAAGAGAAGGGGAGGGGAAGGTTTTGAATGTTTGGGAGACCCTTCTTCTTGTTAAGGAGATAGAGGTTGTGAATGAGTTGTAATTAAATTCATTTCACATATATGATGAATTCAAATAGTTGAATATATATTGATTTAAAATTGAGCTAAAATTGTCATTTAATTAACGATCCTTCAAAATCCTCCAATTCGGGAGAACTTGAAAATGGAGCATTTGAAGGGTTTGGAGGTTACAAAAGCCCTCCAAAATCATCCCCTCCATATTTTTAAATTCCCAAACATAAAAGGGAGGGTCATGAACCCTTGTCAACCTTCTTCTCCCCTTCCAAACCCAACTCCCAAACACATCATAAAGGAATTATGTTGTTATCCCTACCCTTGTCCAGTCTCCCTATACAGTCAACATTTCACATTTATCGAGTTACAATTTTGACTATTAATATATATAATTCTCTATTAGTAAAAAATTAAAAAAACTATATAGATTTTGAAAATTTACAATGAAATATATTTAACAATATTTTTTTTCAAAAAAAATTATTAATACATTAATAAATAAAATGTGGTCAAATTAGAACATGTGAATAATGCAAAATTCAACATGTTACATTTATTTAAGAACAAATGTTTCTAATATAAAGTATCCTTAATAATTTGGGTATTATTGAGTAGTATATGCACACTCTGTATAATTTGGGTATTATGGAGTAGTACATACATACTCTGTAATACTTGGGTATTATGGATTTATGGGTAATATATATATATATATATATATATATATATATATATATATATATATATATATATATATATATATATATATAGTCATTCTCCTGTCCAACACCTTCCCGTCCGAACGCCGTCCGAACACCATCGTTTGGGGTGATTTCCGGCGGAATTGTTTGATGAAATTTTTTGAGCATGTTCCCATCAAGTCTAGTTTATTAATACCAAATTTCAGCTCAAAATTCGATCGGGAAGGCATTCAAATAAATCGTTGAAGTTAACTGCGACATATTATACATAGAAAAACACAGTTAACTTCAACGAATTATTTGACCGCCTTCCCGATCGAATTTTGAGCTGAAATTTGGTATGGATAAATAGACTTGATGAAGAACATTCTCAAAAATTTTCATCAAAAAATGCCTCCGTAAACCGTCCTAAACGACGGTGTTCGGACGACGTTCGGACCGGAAGGTGCTGGACCTGAGAATTTTCCTTTATATATTTACACACACATATATACACACACATATACATACTCTGTAATACTTGGGTATTATGGAGTAGTATATATATACTATCGTATATACTCTGTAATACTTTAAAAGCAAACATATATTTTGATCCGGTTCATACCATCACTTCTTATTTTGTGAGAACTAATAACCGTGTAAGCCTTATATTTTCAAGTTCGGCACCGTACCAATCTAATTCAGTACCATGTTGGATGTCTGTTTTTCCTTCCTTGGTTCTTACCGACTTAAGCTATATACACAGGGTTACTACCTCCATCCCCACTTTAGGCCAAGTTTTCTATGTACACATAAGCTTTTGAACGAGCTATGTGTGACAGAGACAAATAGAGGATGTGTACACTAAATATGTACAAGTTATGTGTACAAACGTTGTTTTCGCAACAATAGAGACTATTGTTCAAGACTCTCTTGGTCCCGAAATTGTTCGTCAAATTGACTTTTCTTGGTCAATGATATTCAACTTTGATCAATGATATTTTTTAATACGAAAATATTTGAAATATGAAAATTATATCAAAATGTTCCTTATTCAAAATATTTTCATAAAATTATAAAATTAATAAATTATAGATAAATATAATAATTAAAATCATTGTCCAAAGTGTACCATCATTGACTAAGAAAAGTCAATACGATGAACAAACCCAATTATTATACATAGCTTTACCGGCAACCCAATTATTATACATAGCTCGGAATGCTCTAACCCCACACGTCACCTTCATATAAATACCACATCTCGGACACGGCTCACGGCAATCTAAGCCAGACCGCCTCAATTTCATATATACTCCGTAGATTATAAATTTCATTTCATTTCATTTCAATCCATTTACTCATTCCTCTTCTCTTTTCTCTCCCTATATCTTGCGGAGTATATCTTCGCACCTTCCCCTTCTAATTGGAATTCGCTTTCCGGATGATGGAAGCTTCTGGATCGAAGCGGAAGAAGCTGTACAGAGGGATTCGCATGAGGAAGTGGGGGAAGTGGGTTGCCGAGATTCGCGAGCCGAACAAGCGCTCCCGGATTTGGCTCGGCTCCTATTCCTCTCCCGTCGCGGCCGCGCGAGCCTACGACACCGCCGTGTTCCACTTGCGCGGCCCGTCGGCTCGGCTCAACTTCCCGGAGTGCATAGCCGGCGGAGGCGGCCAGATGATACTTTCAGCCGCTGATATTCGGCAGAAAGCCACTGAGGTCGGCGCGCGCGTTGATGCCGCCATGCTGACGTCATCGCCCACCGAGCACAGCCCGAATTCGAATTTGAATCAGAAACGGGTCGTTATGTTCAAGCCCGATTTGAATGAATACCCGAGCCCCGAGAGTTCTGAGGAGGACAACTGAATCCGACTTGAATGGCACGCTATAGCTTATACTCCGTACATAAACTTTGTTTTCTGTAAGCTTTCATTACATCATGATTGATGGAAGACGTTTTTCCATAAATAGTTTTGGAAGACGTTTTTCCATAAATATAGCTGAAAATTGAACTATTATGTAGAGTTTATAGAAAAAATGTGATTAAAGTTGAAGAAATTGTCCCTTTCAAACACAGTTGAAGGAGTTAAAATGAAAAAAGTTAAAGAAAATCTTCAAAATAGAAGTAAAAAGTTAATAAATCTTAAAATAGGAAAGTATTATATATCTTCGTCCCTGTGGATTTTAATTTGTTAACTTCAAATTATGTGAGAAAATAAAAATAATAATAGGTGTGCCGTTAAGTTTTGTGCAGAAACTAATGGAATAAGCATTATCGCAGATTTTTATTTTTTAGGACAAAAAGAAAAGTCAGTAAAGTGGATGGATCATGTTTAGATATTATACTCGAGTTTTAAAATTTTACATTACTTTTTGTTAGTTTAGGAAGCAAAATATTTTATTTTAATGTGTAATAATGTTCTCTGCTTTACAATTGACCGAGCATCAAATTTATATACATGTGCGGAAGCCGGAAGCTAGTCCTCGGTCCTTATACACACTAGCAAAATATATACAAGGTATAAGGGTCAGATAGAGCCTCAAATTTACAAAAAAATGTCAAATAAATTCATATATAGGATGTTCTGTACGTTCGACGCCATTTGGGGTGGTTCTCGGTTAAATTTTTCGATGAATTTTTTTGAGAATCTTATTCATTTGCGCAGTTAAAAGCGCAGTTATCTTCAAGAATAGAATTTAATTGAATGCCTTCTCGATTGAATTTTTAGTTCAAAGTTAGTATGACTAAACTAGACTTAATGAATAAGATTCTCAAAAAATTATTCAAAACATTCCATCGGGAACCACCTCAAATGACGTCGGTCGGACAAATCATCTTATATAGGACCTTATTTGACATTTTTTTGTAATTCGAGGCCCTATCTGACCCTTATCCCAATATACAATAATAATTATTAAATCAGCAAGGTCACATGGGTCTAATACCTCCTCAAGTTGGAGCATGATGATCAAACATGCCCAACTTGCGTAGAAGATGCCCAAATTGTCGTATTCCAAGAGCCTTTGTAAAGACGTCAGCTAGCTATTCGGTAGTAGAAACGTGTTGAGCCGTAATCAGATCCTCTTATAGTGCATCACGAACATAATGACAATCCTCCTCAATATGCTTGGTACGCTCATGAAAGACAAGATTATGAGCAATGTGAAGTGCCTAGCGACTATCGCAATATAGAGGCATAGAGCGCGAATGAGTAATGCCAAGACTAATAAGAAGACCCTTCAACCACTTTAATTTTGCAGTAGCGACTGCCATGGAACGATACTCAGCTTCAGTGGAGGAACCAGACACGGTCTGTTGTTTCTTAGTCTTCCAAGAAACGGGGGAACCGCCAAGAAACACCACCCAACCAGAAAGGGAACGACGGGTAAGCGGGCAGCTAGCCCAATCAGAGTCACACTAACCTGTAAGAGTCAAATCACCAGAGGAACGCTGGAGAATTCCTAGACCTGGAGTGGCTTTGAGGTATCTAACAACCCGAAGAGACGCATGTCAGAGTTCCTGCCTCGGGGCCTGCATGAACTGAGATAAAATATGAACCGGATATGCCAAATCCAAACGGGTGAAAGACAAATAAATGAGACGACCAACAAGCCGTCGATAAGATTCAGGATCGGCCAGTAGATCACCCGTAACAAGACCCAAGGAATGGTTTTGTTCCATGGGAGAAGAAGATGGTTTTGCCCCAAGAAGACCTGCTTCAGAGATAATATCCAATACTATCCTCCGTTCCATAAAAGTTGCAACAGTTTGACTTTCACGTTTGCCAATGCGCAACTTTGACTGTAATTATATTTATTTACGTATTAGTAAACACTAAAAAGTTAATATATTGGAAATTTACATTAATACAAATTTATTAATATTTTATACATAATATTTTTATTATATACTCCCTCCGTCCTGTTGGAATGTTCCCGGTTTGACCTACACACATATTAAGGAAATAAACTTACCAGGGAGTAAATTTTACTATTTTGACACTGTTTCGACACTGTTTGGCACTGTTTCGACACTGTTTGACACTTTTTTGCACTGTTTGACCTTGTTTTGATGTAGGATAACTTTCCATTTAGAGAAATGGGAACTTTCAACGGGACATCCAAAAAAGGAAAGCAGGAACATTCCAACGGGACGGAAGGAGTATATTATTAGAAAATCGTAGTCAAAGTAAGATGTGTGAATAGTGCAGAAATTCCAATGTTGCAACTTTTATGGAACGGAGGAAGTATATATTTGCGTTGACAAAGAAACACGTCATCCATGCTCCGGGCAACCTCTATGCCCAGAATGTACTTTAGAACGCCTAGGTCTTTGATGTGGAAACAAGTATGTAAATAAGATTGAAAGCGAGACAAGGCAATGGAATTATTTTCCATAATGATTAAATCATCCACATAAATAAGTACATGCAACTGAACATCACCTTGGCTCAAAGAAAACAAGGAATAATCAGAATAGGACTCAAGAAAACCATAGTGTTTGAGAGAGGCAGCAAGCTTAGCGAACCAACATCGCGGAGCCTGACGAAGGCCATATAGATATTTTTTTCAAACGACATACAACTCCTGGGCGTGACGGTGAGAATCCAGGAAGGGGTCGCGTGTAAACTTCTTCAGCTACATCGCCATGAAGAAAAACGTTGTGTACATCCATTTGATGTAGTTCCCAGTTCTGTGCAGCAGCGAGGGCTAGAAGAATGTGTATCGTAACCATTTTGGCCACGGGGGCAAATGTCTCAGTGTAATCAATGTCGGCCTCCTGGTGATTCCCAATCACAACCAACCGTGCTTTCATGCGCTCAACGGTGCCAGTAGATTTATATTTAATTTTGTAAACCCATTTTCAACTGATGGCCTTTTTGCCGCTTGGTAGCGATACCATATCCCACGTATGATTATTTTAAGTGCCTGTATTTCATGGTGCATAGCAGAACGCCATCCGGGATTAGTCATAGCTTCCCTGAATGAACGAGGTTCATGACCTGCAAGAATAGCTCCAAGAAACATGCGGTGATGGATAAAGTACTTATCACAAGACACATAATGAGCAATAGGATACCGCGTACCTGAAGAGCTGTCGGAGGGTGGCGACGGAGATGGGCTTAAGTTCTGGACGTGATGAGCAACATAATCACGTAGTAGGACCAACAGCCGTTTAGACCGCATACCACGACCAAGAGTGGAAGTTTCGGGAACCGTATCAGTCGGGGGGCACCATATCATGACTTGGGTCATCCATAGGTTCAGGAGGAACTGGTTCAGTGATGTCAAAAATAGCAGGAGCATCAGGTTCAGGAGGAACCGGTGCAAGAGATTCCAAGAAAGGAAACACATCCTCGTGAAATTGCACATCTCGTGAAACAAATATTTTCCCAGTAGTACAGTCTAACATTTTTCACCCTTTCTTGCTAGTAGGATATCCGACAAAAAAAAACCGCCGACTGCGTGGGGTGAATTTATCCCTGTCAGTCTTCAAATTGTGAGCAAAACTCAAACACCCAAAAATGCGTAGCTAATGGAAGTCTGGCGCCTTCCTAGTAAGAATCTCACACGGGGTTTTTCCCTCCAAGAGTCCGGAGGGTGTACGGTTGATTAGGTGAACCGCCGTGAGCACACACTCACCCCACAAAGAGATCGGAACATTGGCCTGAAACATAAGTGCACGTGCCACATTCAAAATATGTCGATGTTTACGCTCCACCCTACCATTTTGTTGGGGTGTGCACACACACGATGTCTGAAAAATAATTCCATGTTGCTCAAAATAAGGTAGCATGCACCTGAATTCAGCTCTATTATCACTTCGTATAATCTTGACAGAAAGCTCAAATTGTTTTTCAACCATGGCAATAAAAGAAAGAAAGAAACGATATTGATGGAGTATATGGGTCTAGGACCCACGACCCACATACTCAGAGGAACAGAAAGTACAAGTCACTAAGCGGTGCCCTCGTCGGCCAAAGGACCCCCCCCCCCCCCCCCCCCCGTCGGCCAAAGAGGGACCAACTCGGAATATGGTCTTGAAGCCAGGGAACCAGGGTGCCTTCGTCGGCCGTGCCCTCATCGGCCGTGCCTTCGTCGTCCAGACCCTCGTCGGACAAAGAAACCTCACAGAACTAGATTTTACACTTAATCATTTCTATACACATTGTATTCGGCCCAATAGCGTTCCAATTGTAAATGAGCCTCCCAAGCCCAAGGCTTGAGAGCCCAGCCCGTATTTTTCCTATAAATACTTCCTCTGGAGGTAGTTGTAGGGGTTACAAAATCATTCTATTGAAGCATTTACTTGCACTTCTCTCTCTAGCTCTCACTTCTCTCTAAGAATATACTCTATCATTTGGTGCTCTCGTTGAGAGCTAGAACAATCAAGTTAGCACCCTTCGTCGCTACCAAGCACAGCTAACCACTGATTATGGGAAGAACCAAGTCAAACCGCAACCTCGTCAACAAGGCCATCCCTGAGGATCAGGAGACCAGGGAGCATGAGGAGGACGCCACGGCCGACCAGGTCGGAGGAGGGGACGTCTTCCAGGAGGCCATCAACCTCACGACGGACCTATGCAACCAGCTCAACGGCGGCGGCCTTAATGCTCGCATCGGCCTGGACAAGAAGCGCACAGAGAAGACATACCATGCCCCGGCCCAGCCTGCGGCCCCAGCTTCTCCGTCTGTGGATCCACAGGTTCAGGCCGCATTGTCGGTCATCGTCGCCAGCTTGGCTCAGAACCCCACTGTCCTCAACGCACTGTTGCCAAGGACTGGGGGGAACGTCACTCCACCTCCCCAGCCCCAACCATTGGCCACCAGGTTAGGCAACGATCAGGGGGTGATAGCCCAGGACACTGCGTCGTACCACTCCCACCCCGCTTCCCCTCTTCGGCCTGGACAGACCCCAGCGCGTGGAAAAGCCTCTGCCTTCAATAGGCTGGGTGACATGCGCCGTCGTCCGGTTTCGGAGAGGATGGCGGGACGAATTGGTGAGCGTCGACCTAGCTCGCCAAGGGAAAGCTTGGGGTCTGTGTCCCGTACAGCGGACCAGCCCCGCCTAGACAAGGGCAAGGG